AGAGATGCGATTTACAAAATAAGTAAAACCAAAAAAACTATTGAAGTGTGAAGTAATTATTGCATAAAATGTTTAGTAAATCCATACATGCTGTGCCTCAAAATTAAACTTGTTAGATATTATTTTGGTCGACATCAAATTCAGGCTTCCAAATACATATCACATCAAATCAAATTAGAAAATTCCGACTTATACTGATCAAAACCTGACATATTGTGCCATTTATTGAGTTATTTATTGTCTTCACTACTACAAATTCTGTTATGCAATGCTGTTTGAATTCAGCTGCAGCTACACAATTTGAAGTTTGTTTGGAAGTTATGTTAACACATGTCAAATAATCATCCAATAAATTAGAGAGGGGACCTAATAACGATATTATCGTCGATATAGGATCACAGGCATCACAGACTAATTGAAATAGAAAATGCTTCACATCAAATATTGGTTTCGAAATATAGTTCATATTCAGAGAATCCTGCATATGATTTGGTGACTTGATGACACCATAAAATGCTGAAAAGTAAATTCCAACATAATTGTCTGCGATTTGACAATATGGCATTATGGTCACACTGTTTCGTAGGACTCCATAAAAATATTACCACACCTCACTAAATTAAATATATTCATTGTTATGCTAAATTAGCTCTATTTATACAAAATTAGGTTCTACTTTGGGCTCCTACTTTCCAATGCTCTATGTAGAAATTGGTCTAATTTACGACTTTCTCAACCCAATTTTGAAATGTGAAAAAATAATTTCACCATAGAAACCAGTACAAAAATGTAAATTTAGATCATTTTCCATGGAATTCAGACTCTTGTTTCAAGATATCCTAGTGACATTAACCAACAATAATGAAAGGAGGAAGAAAATCTTCAATTCACCCTGACCCTCCTTAAATATGATACTACCAGTAGTACACTAAAATCCAAACAATATGCTTGGTACAAATCTGAGCATATGCAATCCTTTGAAAATGTGCATTGTGAACCAATTAAGTTCACAAGAAGTGATTGGAACATCACATGCACTAAAAACCACTATTAGAATTTTTTTTTTTTTTTAATTTTGATGTTTTATAACAATAATGTGTCCCCCATACAGCATCATATTGGATGATTCAGACATGGGTGTAGACATGTGTTAGGCTTCTACTTGCTCATTATCTTGCCATAGACCCTTCTCTTGATCCAATATGGGAGATTCAATATTGTTCAACAACAAATTTCTCCATAATATATTTTCCATGCCTTCCAGCAAAGAAGCACTCTTGTAGCATCAACAGGATGTCGATGGGCATAAACAATTTTGTTCGAGTGGACAACTCATTCCGGTTGTGTAGTCATCCATCATTTAGCACCTAGCTAGAGTGACAGATCAACTAATATACAAACTGTATATTGGCATTATGAGCAGTGTCCCTTACACCCATTTGTGTCACTAGAGGGCACACTTCATAGCAAAGGTGTATTGATTGCTCACATACAGTTATCTTAGGTTGTAAGGTTCAGACAGGGTCAGACACACTCAAAAATATAAATCGTATAGTCTATATTACAATAAACAAAGAAACTCACAATGCTTCAATGACCAACCAAGGTGTTAAACTACAATACAAAAAACTCAAGATTTGTTATTCATTTATGGGTATTCACCTTATGAAACATGACAACATGAGCCATATATTGGCTTCTATATGCAAGATCTACACTTATTATGGTAACAGAAATATTTCTATTTACTGAGGGCAAAGACTTAGTTGATAAGAAAACAGAATGGCATATACCCAATTTTCTTTATTTCTCTCATTTTTTTTTCTGTAATCAATGTACCGGGTAACCCAAGTTGTCAAATAAAACAGGTACTGGATGACTTCAATAAACAGATGACTCAATCACAGGACACACTAAGTCAGTGATACATCTGCACTGTAAACAAAGCTTGAAACACTCAACATACTGTTACATGATAGATAGGTACATGTATGTAACAAAGTCCATGGGCAGCTTAAGTCTTAAGTCAACCAATGCCATATTAGGAACCAATTCAAATATCAACTGCAACACAACACGCCACGCCTATAAAAAGCAAAACTAACGACAAATTACTGCATTAATGTCACAACGTGGTTAAATAAATGCCAAGCTGTTAACAGCGACAACTTTGATATTCTTGCTGCCATTTAGGATGCAAGGAATGTATCAAACATAGTCATGATGACAACAATGACTAAATACAAAGTATTCTGGGATTATCATGTCATATTTAACAGGGGGGAAAACGAGTTAAAAGTTTATCTATGAATCATAAATTCTTGAAGTTGCTATGGATGCAACTATACCTTCTAGATAAGCACATATACAGTAGTGCATATGCCATTCCAATGTTTGCCTACGGGATTAACTGACTGAAATTTTACTACTGTCATTTTTTTACTATTCCGAATATTGAAAACGCTGTTTTCAGTACCTTGGATGACCTCTAATTGGAATGAGACATGCGTAATGCTGCAGGCTGGAAGACTTTTTTCTTCTTTTTCTGCCTTTGTTTTTATTAGCCACCATGGCTGCAACTATTTTACCTTTAGTAGAAGCACAGTTCAATTTAATAAACAAAATACTTACTGTAAAATACTTTATTTTAGCTGGAATTAATTTGCGCTGAAAATACTTTTTGAGCGTTTTGTGTGGAATTTATTTTCACTGATTTTTGGCAAGTTGAATGTAAAATATAGTGAAAAAAGGTTCCTTCAGCAAAAATAGTGAAAATTTCAGATTAAATTTTTCCCAGTGTCCCATCCTGTAAATATGGTCCAAATAATGTGCATACATTCAATCACACATGTCAATGCATGTCATGTGTCAAACTTGGGTCAGCCATCCTGTAACACTTAAATGTGTCTAACTTGCATAGAGTTTCTTACTGGTTCTACTCTACAGAACACTGAATAACTTCTTTCAATTTCATGAGTTAAGCTGCACCAGTACAACACAGCAATCTGGTAATTTTGCAAGCACCTGTAAGACATTCAGAACAAAATTTAGTGAGGATGATATTTAAAAAAAATAATATGTTAACAACATGGACAAGAGAATAAAATGCTGTTAATAATTTGGATAATTTAACTGAGGAGGCCAATTTTAGTGAATCTGATTGTCAATACAAAATTTTGCAATTTACAGATTAAACCTTTGCTCATAGTGATGAATGTATTACATTAAACTCAACTGCTTATCATTCTGTAGATACAATTAATACTTATCCATAAGCAATTACACACTAATCATCTGAATAAAAATAACAAAATTCCTTGGGAGACTTCAAAAGTATTTTTAGTCAGCACATGAAAATAATTATGGGTGGGTAGGGGAGGGGAGGGGAGGGTGGTAACATACACACAGAACTACATATACTGAAACCCCTTTCAAAAAGCAATAAGAAGCAAATATATTACCTTAAGGGTGTGTAGTAGTCACCACCTCTTGAAGACTTGCCACAGCCTCTGCAGTAAGATCAATATCAGACTGAATATAAATTATCTGATCCACCACTTCAGTAGCATTTTCAACAACAGGCTGGACTTCATCAGCATCTGGCAAAAATCTGCAAAACTTTTGATGGTTGAAGAGACCTCGTTGCCTATCAAAGGTACGTTGACACTTGCTGCAAGAAAACTTTCGGGCATGAGTCTTCAGGTGCTTACGCAATGATTCTTCTGTTTTAAAACCTTGCTTACAGTGGCCACAACGAAAAGGTAACTTGTGAGTAGCCTTGTGTTTCAGCAACTGATACTGTGCTTTGAAAGTCACTCTGCATATAGTACATACAAATGGTCTAGTTGTATTATGTGTTGACTCGTGATTTCGCAGGGTTCTTTCAGTCTTGAAGGTCTTTCCGCAAGTTAAACATTCGTGAGGACGATAATCCGAATGTGCGATCATGTGCTTCTTCAGATAGTTGACATTCATAACTTTTTTGCAGACTTCACACTCGGTGGTGGGGCCAGTTTTATGAACATGGTTTTGATGATCAGTCAAAGTTCCTTTCAATTTGAACCTTTTACCACACATATCACACTCGTAGGGTTTCTCATCACTGTGAATTTTTTTATGAGCATTAAAACTCTGTATGTATCCAAAGGATTTTCCACACAGATGACATAAGTATGATTTTTCTTTTGTATGTGACTTCATGTGATCTTTCAGTCCCGTCTCCCGGACAAAGGCTTTACTGCACACAGTACACTTGAAGGGTCTCAGATTTTCATGAACAGTTTGGTTATGGAGCTTAAGAGTTTGTGGGTAGCCGAAGGACTTGCCACACTTCCCACAAACATGTGGTCGCTCTCCCAAATGAACTGCACGTACATGCAACTTAGCTGTATTGGCAGCTCTGAATTCTTTCCCACAAGATGAACAAGCATATGACATTTTACCAGACTTTTTAATTTTATGCGAGAGACCTTCCAAAGGCTGTATGTACAAAGAATCCACCAACTTCAGAGCTTCTGAATCTTCCTTATGAAACTCGCGTACATGTTTATTAAGTCCTGCTCGTGTTGTATATGGAATCTTGCATAATGGGCAATTCAGCACCTTCGTGCAATCTATTTGTACAGTCTGTCTTCTCACTTTCAACTTAGGATGTTTACGCCGACAGTGAAAATATAGAGCAACATTTGAAACAAGCCTTTCATCACAAACCTTGCAAATAAATTTCTTGTCATTTCTGTGTGACATCATGTGCCGTTTCAATGCACGTCTAGTCTTAAATACTTCGTTGCAAACATTACATTTATGAAAAGCCCTTGTAGTTTGTTGGTCAGAGTTTTGTGTACTTTGATGTAATTGTTTTACATGTAATTTGAAGTCAAGTAAGTTGTTGCATGGAAACTCGCATAAAGGACAGTTGAACTCTGTACCTCCCTCTGTTGATTTTAATCCATCTTTTGTTACATCAGTACCAGTAAGCTTATCATTTACGCTTGTATTATTTTCATCATCCAGGGCGTTGATACTAGTTTCTGCCTCCTTATCTGCGACTGCGGTATTATTTTCATCATGAAGGACAGCAATACTAGTTTCTGCCTCCATATCTGGGGCTGCGGTATTATTTTCATCATCCAGGGCAGTGATACTAGTTTCTGCCTCCTTATCTGCGACTGCGGTATTATTTTCATCATCCAGGACAGCAATACTAGTTTCTGCCTCCTTATCTGGGACTGCAATATTATTTTCATCATCCAGGGCAGTGATACTAGTTTCTGCCTCCTTATCTAGGACTGCGGTATTATTTTCATCATGAAGGACAACAATACTAGTTTCTGCCTCCATATCTGGGGCTGCGGTATTATTTTCATCATCCACGGCAGCTGTACAAGTTGCTGCATCCTTATTTAGGACTGTAGTATTATTTTCATTATCCACGGTAGATGTAAGAGTTCCTTCTGCCCTACCCGTGTCTGTGGTACTATTTTCTTTATCCACGTTAGCTATACTAGTTTCAGCTTCTTCATGTGGGACTTTGGTGCTATTGCAATCATCAAGGGAAACAGTACCAGTTCCAGCCTCATCTGTTACCGTGGTACTTTTTTCATCTACAATAAATTTGCCAGAACCAATTTGTATGATTATGGGTTTCAAATCTTTCTGCTTATCCATAGGGTTATTACTCTCGCTTGAATGCTCTTCTTTCAAATGATTTTTCAGTTTACTCAAGTCGGCACAAGTTTCTTCACACAATGGGCAACTAAACATATCACTGAACTCTGAATCACTTTCTTCCTCACAATCATTGCTTGATTCTGACATTAGTTCATCATTACTGTATTCCAATGAATCGTCTTCTTGTCTCTCACATATTTTCTTTGGCTTTCTTGGTGGTTTGCTAATCATTTCAGGTTTAACTTCACCATGTTTTGTTCGACAGTGTTTATGCACATTGGAGCTTGTAGTGAACTGACTCCCACAAACATTACAAGTGAAATACTTTTCCAACTTAGTTTTTTTGACATATTTTCCAGAACATTTACCAATCATTTCTGGCTTTACTTCCCCATGTTTTGTCCGACAGTGCTTATAGACATTGGAACTTGTAGTAAATAACTGGCCACAGAGGTTACAAGAGTATGGTCGTTCACCAGTGTGTATTCGCATGTGTCGTTTTAGTCCAGTGCTACCATACAGTGTTTTATCACAAATTTCACACTGTAGACTCTCATTCTGTTTTGTTCTGCTTTGAGTGTTTTTATTGGGACTCAAAGACCTGCTAGCAGCAACATTGGCATAATTTTCATCTTCATTTGGAGAGGTATGTATTTTTTCTGACTTCGGAAATAGGTCACTGTCATCAGCATTACTTACAATTACATCATTTGAAGCCAAGGAGCAAGCTGGTACATCTTTTCTTTTATCACGTACTCTTTTACCAATCATTTCAGGAGTTGCTTTCCCATGCTTTGTTCGACAGTGCTTATAGAGGTTTGAACTAACAGTAAACGTCTGTCCACAGACATTACAAGAATATGGTTTTTCACCTGTATGTACTCTCATGTGACGTACAAGTCCATCAGCTGTAGAAATATACTTTTCACAAATTGTGCACTGTTCGCTTGCTTGCTTTGTTTCTTTTATATTATTTTTCCCAGAAACTTGAGTGCTACTTCGAGTACCTCTGCTTGGGCCTGAAGTCAAGTTTGCCACTAAACTCTTACCAAATCGTTTACGCTTTCCTGTTGTAATTTTTTTCATTTTACCAGGAGACCAATCATCATCATCGTCATCTTCATCGCCACCATATGGTATTCCATCTTCAACTTCACTGTCATCAGAATCCTTATTTGTGTTATCTTCCTTTGCAGTTGAACAATTAGATTCATCTGTGTTTCTTGTCTCAGTAAGACTAGATAGTTTGGTCACAGCAATTTTTTTCATTGCCGATGGCTGAATCTCATCACCTCCACCTGCCTTCTTCAATACTTCCACAGTACATTTCTGAGGAGATGAAACCTTCTGTGAAGTATTTTCTGAGTCTGCTGCATTTGCAGGTACTTTTCTGGATCTCTTCATGAAAGCCATACATCCAACACGCAGAGTTTCCACCTCAAACATTTCAGCAATGTTTACCAAATTATTGGCATTTTCATCATTTACTTTTATCTGACCAGTATATACATACTCTACAAATTGTTCTAATGATTTAATATCCATATTGTCAATTTGGAGTGTACCTGCATCAGAGTTGGGCTCATCTATGTATAAAGTTCGCTTAGCAAATTCACTGACAGCAGTGAATACAACTCGATGACAGGAAACTTCCTGCTCCCCATTACTTAGTCGTAAATCCGTCCCAATATTGTTTTCCCTCATAATATTCAGTTTGTCTAAAATGATAGCAGAATGGTTGGAGCTCTTCAAAACCCACTCACTGGCAGCAGTTGTCTCACTCATTGTTGAATTCAATTATAATAGCAGAGGATAATATCAATCTGAATTACTTTATTATGTGGTGTGTGTACCAGAGGATCTGAAAATGAAAAACAAAGAACAATATAAGTATACACACAGTAACCACAATGTGTTAAAATATGCTGCCAACTAAATACACTGGGCAAAAGGACAAGGAGAGGCTCAGAATTTGTTGTTATATGTGCCTGTACTACTGTTTTATCCTAACACACTTAACATACTGTTCAACCATCTGTAGCGATTACTCACAAGCTCTGTTATGACATTAGAACGTCTTCAGAGGCAATTAATGCGATGAATTTAATTCTTGATGCTGACTCATCGACTCACACCATATGTTCTACCCTCACTTAACTTTAAACTCAATCGCCTTATTCTGATATATAAATCCAATCATTTTATGAAATCCATTATTTGAAATATACATTCTTTACAAGGGCGGATACAGGATTTTAATTATGGGGGGTCCAGTCTAAGTTACTGATTTTTTTATATAATACAAAAACAAATTGAATAAATTTTTCACAGGGGGGTGG